ACAGCGACGAGGACGGTGTGAGGTTGAAAGTGGGAATGAGAGCTCTTGCACAACCGAAGGGACACTCACGATTCTGACAACACATAATCATGCACACATCACACACATACACACACACACACACACACACACACACACACACACACACACACACACACACACACACAAATACACACACACACACACACACACACACACACACACACATACATCATCACACACAGCAACACCCCCCCCCCTTTCTGACGCCTCACCGCCACGTGTGGAGGTCGCGCATGGCGGTCTCCAAGAGTCGCGTGACAAAGTCGAGCATGAGCTCCGGCTGTTGCTTGAGGGATGCTGCATTATCGCCAACGCCAAAGTGGTACTCAATCTTCACCCGACACGCCGCCACGCACGCTTCAATCGGCAGCGATGTGATGGACGATGGTAAGGATGGCGTGGCCGTGGACGCCGTTGAGACGCTTTCACGCGGCTCAGTTCCTTCGCTGTCATCGTCACGTGGCGGCTGGGCTGGTGCGGGCCACGCGAGCTCGAGAAGTGCCGTGCGAGCCTCCCTTTGATGCGGAGAACATAAGAAGCGTGAGCACGCGCCAAACAGGCTTCGCAGTCGACGTCGCTGCAGGTGCACGGGGTCACTCGCACGCACTTGGCTGTGCAGCAAGACTGCGTTCATCCAAAGAGCGGGAGCGGACATGGACGTAACGCACAGACGCACACACAAGCAGGCACCAACACGTGCAGGCGGGCGTGCTCGCACCGAATGGCAGCTTGGCGCTGTTCGAGTCGCTTTTCCCCCATGGCTTGTTCAAGTTGTTGCACCAGGTCGCACACGTCCGGAGCCAGGACTGCGGCCAACATTCCTCTGACAAGCAGACGAACCCCATCACACGCCACACTTAGCAACATGCAGGACATCAAGCAGAGATAAACATCACAACAAAAGCAAGCACCAAGCGGCCATCCACTTACTCTCGAAGCGGGCGGGTGCCCACATCCTCCTGTTATGTGTGTGTGTGTGTGTGTGTGTGTGTGTGTGTGTGTGTGTGTGTGTGTGTGTGTGTGTGTGTGTGTGTGTGTGTGTGTGTGTGTGTGTTTGAGGTAGCCAAGTAATACTGAGGGCAAGGGAGAGGGGAGAGGAGGAGGTACAGTCTTCTGCAGTGCACAGAGAACACAGAAAAGAAAATCACGCACGACTGTGCAGGCTTACGCACGCACACACACACATGCACACACACATACAAGCATACAAGCATACACACACCTGCAGTTGGCGTGCGTGCTTTGCACGATCAACGGCTGCCGACAAGTCAGCCCTGTCGACCACCAGCTCGTCCAAACTGCTGCTGCTGCTCATCATCGTCTGTTGCGCTGCGGAAATTTACATGAAATCATTCGCAAATGTTCACGACTCAAAGGCACAACAGGGCGCCTGAAGACGACTCAAACACAAACACAAACAACAGAGACACACAGGACACCAGCGTTGTTCACCGCACCAAGCTGACATGTGGAGTCGCTTCAAGCAGATATTCCGACGCCGGCGAGGGCGTGAAGGATCCTCACAAACGGACAGCACCAGCACAGGTGCGTGTTTGTTTAACTGTCAGGGGGGAGGTATTGCCTGCTGGGTATTGCTGTGGTTTCACGAGGGCACGCCTGCTCTCATGCACACGCGCAACTCTGCGTCATCACAGATCAAGGGCCTGAGGATGAGACTTCCCGATTCTTGAAGCAATGCATCACACAGACGGTGTTGGATGCTCCTCGTGCTGTGACGCAGTAAGTGCCGAGCGCTGGTCATTGTGTGCTTGACGTGCATGAGGGAAATTGCGGCTGTGCTTGCATGACTCACGCAACTCAACGTCTCTGACTCCCATACGCAATCCCAACGCACTCGCGACTGGCAGAGACTTTTACATGGAGGGACTGGAGAACGTGTTCCTGTATGTAGACAGAGCAGGTACGACAGCTGTGGAGCGTGTCTGAACTAATGCATGAGTCGGCATTGATTCTTCGCTATTCACCGCACCCTTACATTGTGCATGTGTGTGTGATTGTGATTGTGTGTGTGTGTGTGATTGTGATTGTGTGTGTGTGTGATTGTGATTGTGTGTGTGCTTGTGTATGTGTGCACACGGCTGTTGGTTTGTCTGCCTCTGAAGAGCACGGCGACGAATATGAGCGGGTCGCTCAAGCGCTCATCGAGGCCATCCCGCACCACAATCCGATGGCCAAAGCCGTTATTGCCCTCTTCGTGGAAACGCTGCCGACACCACCCGTGGTACGCGCTTCTTACGGTGTGTGAGTGAGTGATTGTGTGTGTGTGTGTGTGTGTGTGTGTGTGTGTGTGTGTGTGTGTGTGTGTGTGTGTGTGTGTGTGTGTGTGTGTGTGTGTGTGTGTGTGTGTGCGTTTTCTTGCGCATAGTTGCGCCCAAACATCATAGAATGTTCACACAACACCCCACCCCCTCATTCACCACACGTGTCCGTGCAGGCATCGCTGAAGAACGTGTCCGGTATCATCACCAACACCATCTCACAGCAGCGCGACGAGCAATCTCTCGTCAATGCGCTCATGTGTTTGGCGCTTCTTGCCGATAACTTCTCAGGTGGCGATGGCTACGGAAGTGATGGGTGTGCGAGTGTGTGTGTGTGTGTGTGTGTGTGTGTGCTTTTATGTGTGTGTGTGTGTGTGTGTGCTTGTGCTTGTGTTTTTTTTTTGTGTGTGTGTGTGCTTGTGTGTGTGACGATGATGATGATGATGAAAGTGCACATGAGTGTTACATCACGCGTCGTTGTCAGTAGCACCACGTATTCAACCTCATGTTCTCACACCGTCCATGGCAACATGCTGCCTGTGTGCGGGAACCACAGGTGCGCTTGCAGAGAACCTGTGCTCACCAGAGCTGATATCCAGACTTGAAACGCTGCTGATGATGGGTGAACGGCCATTGATTGTCCTGAAAGCCCTGACCGCCGTGGAAATGCTAGCGCGCACAGGTACGCGAAGTGTGTGTGTGTGTGTGTGTGTGTGTGTGTGTGTGTGTGTGTGTGTGTGTACGTGCCGTTGACTGCCATTGAGTCGCCCTTCAATGCACACAGCCAAGCTCGTACATGTGCGCGAGTAGCAGCGCACATGCCTGGCTGATGGTCTGTGCACATTGACTGCTCTTGCTGCTGCCTTCAGGCGCGAACAAGTCCGCTCTTCAGGAGCACGGCACGCCGGCTATTGTGTTCGCTCTCGAACAGCGGTATCAAAGTGGTGGTGTTGGTGGTGGTGATGAAGGGGATGGTGATGGTGTTGGTGCTGATGGTGCTGATGGTGGCAACGCCGACAATGGGGATGGTGGTGGTGACGACAAGACCCATAGTGGTGATTGCGATGGTGCGCGTGAGGCCACGCGTGCAACGAGTATCGATGATGACCAGCAGGGGATGAGCACAGCATCACCAGCACCAGCAGTGGCGCGAACCGCAGCAACACCCGTGCACTCAACAGGGGGGAGAGGACTTCTGAACGTTTTGTTGAAAGCGCAGGTGGGCAGGCAATGTTTCAGAGCATGCAGTACTGCACGAGATTGTTTCATTATCCGCGTTTTCAGACATGTCACGACCGCGTTTCAAGCTTGCTTGTATTGCATTTGCTTCCAAACAAGCACACGCCGCCTTACCTCACGTGACCATCACGTAAACACCCCACCCACCATCCACACCACCATCAACACCACATGCGACACCAGCTTGCGTTCTGCACCTCGTGGCTGCTGGACAATGTGCTGCCGTGCTCCCGCCGCCCCATCGCCGTCCGCGCCGTTCCAGAGGGTATGAACGTCATGCTCGACGCACACGACGCAACAAAGGTCCGCACAGTCACGCGCGGGAGGGGGGGGGGGTGTCGGTGTGTGTGTGTATTTGTGTACGATTGTGTGTGTTTGTGTGTATTTGTGTACGATTGTGTGTGTGTATGTGTGTGTGTGTGTGTGTGTGTGTGTCGGCATTGACAGGCATTTCGTTGATGTATGTTAACGCCTACATGCAAATTCGCGCCCATTCATACTCTCACCGTCGCGTGTCTGTGAATTACCGCCAGTTTCTCAAACTGTCACCAGACGGGGTGGAAATTCGGTCCGACGTCAACTCCTTCGAGAGCGTTCGGGTGCGCATATACCTGTGTTATTGTGTGTGTGTGTGTATTGTGTATGGATGTGTGTGTTGTGTGTACGTGTGTGTGTGTGTGTGTGTGTGTGTGTGTGTGTGTGTGTGTGTGTGTGTGTGTGTGTGTGTGTGTGTGTGTGTGTGTGTGTGTGGTTCTTGGGGCTTCCTTTGCCAACATCTGCTTCCACCACCCAACACTTTCCCTCCATTTTCATGGATAGGCCACGTGCTGCGCCACCAGCGGAAAGTGCTGGTACTACGAAGTCACGCTCTTCACCGCAGGTGCGCATGTGATCTTGTGTGTGTGTGTGTGTGTTTGTGTGCGTGTGTGTGTGTGTTATTGTGTGTGTGTGTGTCTATGGGTGTGTACACCTGCCTTTTGAGTCGCTGTGATACGTTGTCTCACACTCCTCCGCCCCCCTTCCCCCGGACTGTGCGTTGCCTGCAGGCATCATGCAGATTGGATGGGCGGTGGACGGGTGCCAATACCAAACAGAGGAGGGGCGAGGTGAGTGTTTTTTTTTTTTTTTTTTTTTTTTACCCTTTCCCGTGTGGTGGTGACCGTGGCGTTAGTCACTGCAGTCAACATTCCATCACACTGTCGTGTTCGTGTACGTGCACGTTACGTCTCGTCTGTTTGGCCATCCATTCAATGCAGGACCAGCCCACACACCCTGCTGTCACCACCACCCTCACACATTCACACCCTCCGTCTCTCGCACCCCACCGCCCACCATCTCATCCCTCGTGCGCGTGACACGACGCCAGGCATTGGCGACGATGAGTACTCGCTTGCCGTTGACGGTTCTCGCCAGCTCGTCTGGTTCAACCAAGCGCCCGCACACACGAACATCAAGTGGCGGCCCGGTGATGTTCTCGGCTGCTACCTCGACCTCGTCCACCACCGCGCATGGTTCAGCGTCAACGGTGCGCAGCCAGAACTGCTGCTGCTGCTGCTGCTGCTGTGTTGTGTAGTGCGCGGCTGTGTTTGCGTGGGTGTGTGTGTGTGTGTGTGTGTGTGTGTGTGTGTGTGTGTGTGTGTGTGTGTGTGTGTGTGTGTGTGTGTCGTTTTCTGATACCACAATCCTATGCAACGCAACTCAGCCAACCACCACCACCACCACCATCACCTTCAGGCCAGCGTACGCGTGTGCTGCGGCTGCCGCCCCACCTGCGCGACCGTGTGTATCCGGCTGCGTCCCTCATGATTGACCAGCACGTCGCTTTCAACTTCGGCGACAGGCCATACAAGTGGGAATCGTATTGGTTTTAGTGTGTGGTGGCTGTGTTGTGTAGTTGTAATGTGTAGTTGTGGTGGTGTGTGGTGGTGGTGTGTTGTGATCCAGTGATGCAGGGCTTGAAGGTCTTTGCGATGATGTGACATGTGCTCCCCCCTCGATTGACTCTCCCCCCCCCCCGCCTGCACTGCCCATAGGTTTCGGCCTGTCGATGAGGACGTGTACGACTTGAACCAAATTGGCGTTTTGACGGAACAGCAGCGGCGTATCATTCCGCGTCTCGTTCTCCTCAATCAGATTCAGCAGTGCGTTTGTCTCGATGGAAGGGGGTGTCGGTGTTGAACTTGAGATGGGAGGGGAAGAGGCATAGAAGAGGGATGGATGAATGGTGCTTGGTGCGATGGTGTACACGTGTGCTGTGCGTATGTACGTGTGTGTATGTGTGTGTGTATGTGTGTATGTGTATGTGTATGTGTGCGTGTGTGCGTGTGTGTGTGTGTGTGTGCGTTGCACAAATTCACCTTCATCTACACGCCACGACGTGTTCACATTCATGCACTTGATGCACCTAAACCTCTCCCCCTCGTTCTCCAACCTCCCTGCTTCCGTTCTGCCCATTGCCTCTGCTGTGCGCCGCCAGAGAGTTGAATGACGACGACGACTTGGACGAAGACAACACGTGCTCCATCTGTTTCGTGCGGCCAATCGAAGGTGAGGGGGTGAGATGCACTGAGTGTGTTTGGGCGCAGAGCAGGGTTGAAGTGTGCCGTTGTTTTGAGGCATGCCAGTCAAGCGGATATGCATTTGCATTGGCACAGACCTGTGTGCGTGTGTGCGTGTGCGCGTGTGCGCGTGTGTGCGTGATCGCGTGATACCTGGAAATCACACCTGTCATATGCGTTGACATACGTCCGTTGGCTGCAGTTGTGCATGAGCCGTGTGGACATCGCGCCTTCTGCTTGATCTGCTCCCTGCAGTGCGAACTCTGCCCACTCTGCCGCAGCGAAATCGAACACAGAACGGTGTGTGCGTATATCTGTGTGTGTGTGTGTGTCTGTGTGTGTGCGTGTGTGTGTGTGTATCTGTGTGTGTGTGTGTCTGTGTGTGTGCGTGTGTGTGTGTGTATCTGTGTGTGTATCTGTCTGTGTCTGTGCGTGCGTGTATGCGTGTATGTGTGCACACATGTGCGTTTTTGTCACATCTCCGCACTCACAGCACCAACGACAATGCAGGAATTGGCGGGCGATGAGAAAGAGCAAACACAGGAGCAACAACAACAACAACAACAACAACAACAACAACAACAACAACAACAACAACAACAACAACAACAACAACAACAACAACAACAACAACAACAACAACAACAACAACAACAACAACAA